ATCTTTACTGCTGCCACATGATCTAAAATGCTTAGCTAAATCTTGTTCCATCTTTTCATATGCCCATATATAATCTAATCTGGAATAATATTTATGTCTGTTTGAATAATATGTGAATACATTTAATTGGAGGTTCATAATTTCCCCTGTGTCAGTCAGTCCTTAGTTTTCAGTAGTGTTAATAAATGAGAATATTGCAGATATTATCTTTGTTACTTTCCCCTCAAAGGTGCCTGCATTTATGTTTAAATCTCCTCCTAATGTCAAATTCTCCATTCAAAATTTCACTAAAGTCTTTAATATTTTCCTAATAAATTTAATAAATTTAATTTGGGGAATAAATTTAAACAATAGTAACTGGAAATGTGTCTCATTCTCCCTTGATTAATATGAACCTTCCCTTGTATCCTTCCATAATCTTTACACTTTAAAGTTTAAACTAGCTTTACATAAAAGTGCAATCCCTCTTGACTTGTTAGTGCCTAGAGCAAAATATTATATCAAAATATTTGTCTTTTATTTAGACACTGTCTATCCTTTAAGTTTCTTGTAACATAAAAATTGAGGGGGAAAGTATCTTGCTTGTCTCAATATTGTATATCTTTTAAATTGGGTCTCTCAATCCTCCAACATTCAATGAGATAAATATACAGATATCATGCATGAAATATTGCTGCTGTGGATACCTGGCATCCTATAAAATAATTTGAATTTATTCTGGGCTTGTAAGAATAAATCTTTTGTTGATTGTACCAGTGGCAATCTTGTTCCTTCTTGCTTTTTCCCTTCTGAAACTCCCAGCCCTCATCAAAGCCATCCCTACCCACAAATCTCCCCCCTATAATGATTCCTGAATTCTTAATATCCATGTTCCCCTCCTAACTAACCCCATTCCCTATTCAGTTTCTACATAGGTTCACAAGAGATTATTCTGAGCCCCTTTGTGGTCTAAGTGGAGAAGGGTTTTGCTGCTCCTTTGCCCCTTTCCCTGCCCAATAAAGTATATCCTTATCTTAATAAATCAGTTAAAATTTAACTATATTTTTTTAAGTCCTAATGCAAATTAAAGTTTTATATATTAAGCTAGATCATAACTGGTCAATATAAAGAGTTTCTTTTATTATTTTTTCTTTTTGCTCTTGCTTCGGTTGGAGTCCTCCTTGGTTTATCATCTTCCTTTTGGAGTGTCTATTTTAATCTTCAAGGTCATTCCTTTTGCCAGCATCAGGGGGAATCTTCAAGTTGGCCAGAATTTCATTCAAGTCCTGAATAGTAGAAATTATCTTTCCTCCTTGTGGTTTTAAAATTGTAAGTTTGAATGGACATCCCAATTTATAAAGAATTCCCATTTTTATCAACTTCTGTTAAAGGCTTGAATGCAATTATTTTTTGTAGAGTAGGTTGATGGATGTCTTAAAAGAAACAAACTTTGTCTCCTCCCCACTTTATTTTCTTCAGCCTGTGGGCTTCCTAAGAATTTTATCTCTGGTACATTAATTTAGAAACTAAATTATAATAACCCTTGATTTTTTTTTTTTAACTTTGCAAGCCTGGAATTTTGAACTCTATGTGCATATACTATGTCCTTTTCAGCCAAATGTAGATCTGGGAAGAGATCATTACACTTCGTTTCTATATAATCTATCATGTTATTCTCAGTTTTTTCATTGATACCTTTAATATGGAGGTTGCTTTATTGGTTATGATATTCAGCATTTGCCAGAGACATTTTAAGGTCCATAATGTCTTTCTCAATTGTTTTTTATGCTAGAGGCATTTTTAGTACTTAAACCATTGGTCTGACTAGTTGTCTTATATTTTCCTTGGTAAGTCTTTAAACTGTTTATCCTTTTCAGATATTACATACCTGCTAAATCTTCTTTCACTGAAATAAAGGGTTTCTCCCATTCCAGCTTCAGGTCCTGAATAAATGTTAATACATGCTTGATATTGTTAAAGGCAGCAGTTTGGTCTCATCTTCCTCTTCTCTGCTGGAAGACTGTTGGTTGCTTGTTTTTGTCTCTTTCACGCAAGTTCTGACCCTTTTTGCTTATTGTGAAGCATCTCTCCTGGACAGTTTGCATTTCTCAGTTGCTTTAGAAGGGAATTCAGAGCAGATAAGCAGTTGATAATAGCTAAAAAGGCAGGTTGAGAGACAAGCAATGCATTCAGCATGTCATCTTCCACAGAGGCTAAGCTGCCCACCCCGAGTTGAGAGTTTTTTAACCCTATATTTATCTACACAGGTGTATAGGAGAACTTTAGCAAAATTGAACTACGTTAATTAGTTACAAATTCTCATACTTCTCCACCTATACTCCTGCAAAATATATGTTCATCATGTGTGTTTAATGTAAAGGAGCTAAAGTAGAGAAAGATTTTAGAGTTTTCTTACCAGCATCCCCAAATTGTCTTTTGTTGCCAAACAACAGCTTGAATAGAAGATGTCAAGGAAAATGCAAAGTAATAACAGAGCAGAAATGGAGAAATCTTCTTATTTCTATTTTGTCCCTGTTTTAATGCAAACCAGGATGCATGAGTAATGTGTGGAATCTTTGATGCAGGAATTGTACCTTTTTCAAAGCCAGAGTAAGCTCCACAGCAATGCTATTCAACAAGGTCAAACTCCATTTAAAAAAAAAAAAAATCATAGGCTTTAAGGGAGCCTGGTTCCAAGGCTCCTGCATCTGTTTCTTTCAGTTGGGCAGGCTTGAAGCAAATCAGGAAATCTCTGATTCAGTTCATGTCAAAATGGAAGATTTTCTGAAGCACAGTGTGGGCCCCAGATTGATTCTGTTATGTAAAATTGACAGCTAGGTAATGTATGCAGTTGCATGGTGAGGGTGAGAGTGGGGGAGGCATCAACATCTGTGGGATGATGAGTAAGGCATTCAGACTGAAACCCCACCCTTTTGTATCTGCTGTGATGTCACACACACTTATAAAAGGGGTAGAGCTTTGATTGTGATGCTGCCATTTTGCAGATTTTGACACCCCCTGCAGATACCCATGTATGTGAAGTATATTTCTTGTAAACCTCAACCTTACAGCAAGATTAATTGTATCATTTTCAAAATTGTAGAATATATTACATATTTATTCTGGTGAAAACATTTGAGCTTCCTTCATAATGGGAAAAGTGTCCTACAGAATTGTGTAATTTAAGGGCCTTTGAATTGTGGCTCTCTCACAGGGAAGTGTAAACATGTGAGTGAGCTGCCTTGTAACTTTTCAGGATGTTACATCTCTTTTCTCTTCCATTCTCCATAGTTGGAGGTATGATGCTGTCCATCCTAGATGAGATGGAGAATATCTTTATTTGGGAACATCTACAAGCATATGAGAGCCAAGCCAAAGGAGCATGGCTGGGGATGTCCTTTAATTCCAAAGGTAAATCAGGCATTGAGAGACTGCATTACTGTTTAGCACTCAGACAACTTTGGTAACTGAAATTGATTTGTAGCAATGTGCTACAAACCAATGGAGGGTCATTCTCTGCAAGTATACTTTGATCATGTTTTTATTAGCTTTATATCCCACCTTTTCTTCAGGAGCTCAAAGTGGCTTACATGGGATCTCTCTTCATTTTACCACTCACAAAAACAACCCTGTGAACTAGGCTGGGCTGACAAAGAATGCCTGGCTGTGGCTGGTGGACTCAAACCTGTGTCTTCCCAGTCCTAGTCAGACACTTTAATCACTGTGCTACTGCTTTTTGCTGCTTCCCAACATCTGGTAGGCTGAGGAGATGCTCATGTATCACTTACTCTAGGATAGCTATTTCACTGATCACACAAAGCATGTTTCTCCCTTCTGCACAGGGGGCACACTTGTCTGGCATGACAGCATAGCTGTGAACTATTCTAACTGGGGACAACATGATACAGGACCAAGCATGATCAGTCCAAACAGCTGCTATTGGATCCAGAGCAGCAATGGGGTATGGCGTTTGGGCTCTTGTTCCAATGTGTCCATGGGTGTCATCTGTAAGACAGCCCGAGGTAAGGATATGATTTAAATTTGTGGAGCTAAAATCAGGTTAGGCTTTTAGTGATCCTCAGTTAGACTACAAGAGCTGGGGGGTTCAACTCTTACCCATCAGAGCAAGGACAAATTATAACAGATACCATTTTACGATTGGAACAATCTGTTTGATAGGAAAAAGGAACTAATTTCATGAAGGCCAGCTGATGAATTTGGGGAGTCAGTGAGAATTTGGTCCTGTGGGTACATAAGTAGCTAAATGGTTTAGACAGGATTCATTTGGGTTACATAGTTCTTTATTTTCCTGTAGATTGTGGTTGGTTTGTGGTAGCCCTGAGTTAGAATTAAAACTTTGATTGGGCCAACTAAAGTTGAAAGAATCTGCAATGTTTTGCAAGTTTGTGGAATTCTTTAAGAGGCAAAATGAGAAAGAGTGAAAAGAAACAAATACTAGATAAAGGGAGAGAGGGAGCTGGGTTACACATAATCTTTTCCATTCTGCCTGACAAAGTGTTCTAGGAATCCAGAAAGGTTTGCATATGCTCGCATTTTTCTGAGTTGGATTAATGAAAGTATTACTCTAAATTGTTTAACATTACTATGGAGGGCAAAAATTAAGGGCTCAGCTAGATGTAAAACTGATCTACCTCCTAGTATGTGGATAAGTTGGAGATACATAGCTTGAAATGAAGGCATATTTGATGACAACTCAGGAGATGCAGCAGCAGAATATGAGTCATTATGGAATGGTCTGAACCGCATTGGAGTGGTAGGTCTAATGATATTGGGACAGGGAGCTGACATTCTTTTTCTCTTTGTATTTTCCATGGCAGTGGAAGGAAGCTCCATCTCCAAATCAGGTATGCACCAATTGGAAAGTGAATGCTTTGCCCCTTTATAGCTCAGTTCAGCTGCCTGACCCGACACACTTTTTAACACCAGTGTTGAAATTAGTAGGGTGGGAGTTTATCTAATTACGCTGTAAACACAAGGCTTTGTATATGAGTGCTCAAACTGAATAAAAAGGCAGAATGTAAATCAAATTAATAAAGAATATATTTTGCACAATGGGTTTGGCAAGTATCTGAAGCAGGTTGCTCAACTATATGATTTCCCCTACTTAAATTACAGTAGGTAAGCATAATGAAAGCAGGCAGCCTACCACAAGCAGAACGTCTTTAATTCTATATCCTGACTTCTACCTTGTTCCCTCACCCACCCTGCCTTAGATGTGAAAGAAACATCAACTTGGGCAGTATAGAGGATTGGAGGGTCCATGGGCTTGACCAAAGATGATGCTTTGATATCATCTCCAGATGGGGAGCCACGAGGCTTGTAATTTTGCATGGATGCTGCTAGGGAGTTATGGAGTTTGTAGTCCACCATGATGCCTTGTATGTAAAAGCTTTGTAGAGCATCATTTGCTATTGAAGAGACAGTCCCTTAGATCTTTCCTATTATTCTTTGAAACAAAGTGGTAGAAATCATTGAACAAGTTGAATTTAGCACATCTATATATAATTACAGATTGTTGCTATTTTGAGTAATTTTCCATTAGAAAGCCTTTAGATGAAGTATTTGAGATTCACTCTTTCTGAATGGGTTGGAATCTCCCAATTTCAGTGATTCACCTCTTAATGCTCGCCAATGTATTGTTGTTATTGATCAGTTTTTTGCTATCTTGCTTGCTCTTCTTTGAATACTGCTTAGCTACAAAAATGGATCTTTCCTCCTAACCTTTCTCTCTCTATTGCAGCTTTCCTGGAAAACACAAAAACCATTGTTGTAGTCATCCTCTCCTCTCTAGCACTCTGTGCGCTGGTAGCTGTTGCCTTCTATCTGTATAAGCGCCGGTGGATTTCGGAACGAGGGACATTTGAGAGTGCTCGCTATAGCCGCACCAATGCCAGTCCTAGTGAATCTGCTGAGAAGAACATCCTGGTATCTGATATGGAGATGAATGAACAAGACTAATGGCGGATTTGTCAAGTGTGGGGTGGGGGGGGGGGGGGGGGTGGGGGGGGG